CACCAAAGTTAAAAGAGTCGGCGTTTGCCGTGGCAACGCGGTAGTTCTGGGTCACAAGGTTTAAGAGAACATACTTATCCTTTCTCTCGTGACATTATCAGATTTGGGTATTTTTTAATTTCCGAAGAAAATACATCATTTAACATGTATATGACCTGAGGTAGAATTCTTCACTAACCACTCAATTCCTTTCCATCTCTACTGCAGGCGTGTGATTACTTTTTCATCGTCCTCTGACGCAAGAAATTTAGAGGGAGAATTTTGCTTCGGGAAAGAGGAAGTTGAAGAGTTCAGTAATTTTGAAATTGTATTTCTTCCACTAGATGTGTCCTAGAATTATCATTAAGTTGTTTTCAAATTTGTAAGTTATTCTTATTAGTTAAATGTAAATAAAGTTTTTTTTCGGTATTTGCGTTTACTTAAAGAGTCATTCTGGTTTCATTTCGATTTCTAGTAAATTATATGTATCCTGTATTTCAGTTTTTTGGCTTATGACCAGTCATGTTGGGCGTCATCTGAACCGGAAACTGCATCGGCACGCTCACGTACTTGTGACTTCGGAATACCATTTACTTTGCTTTCGATCATTAGAGCTCTAAGGGTGCTTATAACTTTGTTTTTACATAAGAGAGAAAATTATATCAAAATTGTACACAGAAAGTGATAATTGAAACTTTCCAATAATTTACTGAAAGCCCCAAAGCGAGACAACAGAACTGCGCAGCTCTCTATTACCTAATGCGCATCTTGTTTTGAAGTCTTCCGCAAATTCACAACTTGAGTCTAGAATTATACCTCAAGGGTAGGAAATGGTTGTTCTATGGAGCCTGTGTCCAAAATATTGTCTCTCTATTCAGAAGTGTCATCGTAGAATGGCTAAGTAACATCACTTTGCTTCCATGGCTTGTTACAATGGCGAGATCGGCACAAAATTTCCAACGGGGCGATGGGAAGAGTTTTGCAAAGACCGGGGCGAAGTAGCGGCGATCCATTTCGCTAATGAATTCCTTCAATTTCTGAGAGATAACCCAGTTTTTGATATATCGGGAGCATCTGGTACATTTTCTAAGCGTTTCGTAGAGCATTTCCTTCAAGCATTTGACGTAGAGGTCCATAAACAAGACGGATTTTTGGATCTCGAGGCGCCCGACTCGCCGACCGATGTGTTTGGCCCAGATGATTGGGGATCGAGCGTTCACCTTACGGGCACATTTAAAGCTCCAGAGAAAAAAACAAATGAATCTAGCTTTAAATTCCTCGAAAAATTAAAGGACGTGAAAGGATTTTTCAAGCGAAATGCGAACGAAGAGTTACCTCCTGCCAAACAGGCGGAAACGAGGAGAGATTTGGAAGATCAGAGGGCTCAATTTCTTGAGACGAAACTGACAACTTCTATCAAACGGGAAGGAATGATGAGCTATTTGATGAACTTGGAAAGTGGAGTGAATACAGAGGACTTCTTCTGGCAGAAATGTCGAGTGGTTCTCTTCAAAGCACCTGGAGGGTTCATGTTAGAGTTTTATACACCTCCAAAGGTAAGTCAACAAAGATCGAAATTTCTAACTTGCGGAAGAGGTTTTGTCTTTTGATCTTTTTTCTTCCAAGTCAACTGACCACCTGGATGGTCATTTTCTCTTATCGCTCTATTAATTCACAATGTAGCCTGTCTATTTGTATTGTCTCTTGTGGTTTTCAACGGTGTTAATTCTTCATCAACATATGAATGGACTCGGGGGGAAACTTTTCTTCTCTTTGACAGCTTATCGCCTTGATGAATATAAAGTCAAAATTTCCACCGAGAGAAAATCGACCGCCATCACCTGTTTATATTAGAACATGAAGACGTAGCGGTCCACTTTTTTTCGTTGTGCTGTATACGGTTTAAGTCTGATTATCGCTTCCTTGATCTTCGCGATAAATTTGCTAATTACGGATCAGATCGGATTAAAATTGGATCAAGGAAGGAAATATGTATTTCATGTTATTGAAATTTAATTTATTTGTTTCTTTAAGAAATGAGAGGGTTTTTATGTTTGTTATCTCTACATTGAAGTGCCGTTTTATATACCTAAATGTAATTAATATGTGTCTGTTTGAAATGAGCCTGTTGGACAGATATATTTTATGTAGTTCAATTTTTGTTTCCATTTTCTGTCACATATCTGATTAAATTTTGGTTTGCATTCTGGATTCATTATGCACAGAATGAAGAGAAAATGAAAACTAATTCCATGCAGTGCAGAACAAGACACATTTGAGTTAGCTGCACATTTATATACAGGGGTTTCTTAATTAAGGGCCAGGCACCAGGCAAATTGACTGGTTGTAAGAACGGTTTTGCCCTCCTTGTTTGACAATCTGGAGGAAAGTTCATCTTATAAAGAAGTTCAGTTCAAAAAGTTTTGCCAGCCTTTGAAAACCAGTTGCCCTCCAGTTGAAACGTTAATAAAACCCCTGTATATATATGGATCTGTAAGGGAGTCAATTTTTCACTTATTATAAAAAACAGAGACATTAATTTTAAGAGAATGAACAGACCATGGTGGCAAAACCATGGGGAACTGTGACCTGAAAATTCTTGTCCTCCCATCCCTCCTGCAACAGGAAAACTAAGCAGTGGAAAGAGAGGCCCATTTATGTGGTCTTGGGTACTCAAGATGACCCTTCAGTCCCAGAGTTACCCTGGGCATGCTAACTTTTCACTTTTTTCTTTACAAAATTCAGGCGACTGTGAGGTTGTAAACTGGTCTGTTAGGGGAGACAACAAGGAGGGGGGGGGGCTAGTTGTCTCACCTTGGCAGATAGGGTAAACCTGGCATGCAGGACAACTTTTTCTCTTGTAAACACCTTGTCTTGCCCAACCTAGACAAGACAAACTTGAACAGAAAATACATACCCATGCTGTAACCAGAGCCTCTGCATTTTATAGCTATTCTTTTCGTGTCGTCCACCACTTTTGTCCAATATATAATCTGGCCTGGCCAAATGAGGGTCAAATTTCATATTAATGCTCCGTAAAGTTGTCTCAGTCCAAGTCAGTCAGACCAAATTAAATGAGGTGTAAGTCTCTTTTCATACATGTTTATGGAGAAAGGCAAGAGAGAGGTCAAGATGGTTCAACAGTGGACAGGCTCTTTTTTTTTTATTAGTAATATTAAGAGCAACATTTCAACTTATTTCTTGCTACTGAATTTTTGTTTTATTTCATCCTGTAGTCACCTAAACCAAAGACAGGAATATTCTGCTTTCTTATTCACGAAGCAAGGCCTGCAACAGAATTAGAGCTGCCAGGAGGAGAAAATGTTTTTGTTATTAAGGTTTGTACTGAATTATAACCGCACAGCCATCTGGCTCAAGCTCAAGTGCAGGGTATGTGTGTCTTCTTTACCAATACATCATGGGATAATTGGTTCTTCACCATAGGAACCAGTAATACTAAAAGTTTCCCTTATGGAGAAAGGTTCTTAATTGAGCAAAGTTCAGTGAATGTTTCAGTGAAAGATGATGAATTTTAGGCTCAAATTCCATGTGAGGACTCAGAACTATTTTCTTTGTCTCATGCTTGTGACATGATGGAAAAAAGGACATCTTTCTTCATGTTAAAAAGTATTTTTTTTCATTTAGTGTAGCCCTGCCAGTAGACCTTTACAAATCCAGTACCCAGTCTAACTTTCCGAGGAAGTATCTTTCTTTTCTATACAGTTTTGTTATTATGTCAAACATTTTACATACTTTAAGAATTTTTAAGTTGTTTTAATCTGATACAATGAATATATGAAGTTCATATATTCAGTGGTTCGAATCCCGTACAGGCCTGATTTTTTTCAGGTCTGATTTTCCCTATTGCATAAATAGCGCTATCTACTGCGAAGGATCGTGCATCATACGTATTGTTTTAATCTCTCAGACATCTTAATGTATATATCAGTTTTATTAATGGTGGAGGTACTTTTTTTTTTTTTTTTTTCTTTTTTTTTTTTTCAGGCTGTTAACAAGAGAGAGTATATGCTAGCTGTTAATCACAGGGAGGAGATGGACGAGTGGCTGGCTGAGATAAGAAAATGCATGGAGGAAGATCAAGGGTCAACAAGTCAAAGGTTAAAGGCTGAATAAATTATCTTCCTGCTATTATTATTAATTTGGAGAGTGTTTTATTACTCTGTGAGGTAGCTCTTACTGAACTTTTAGAGGGTAACATTGGGCTTTAGGTTTTAAAAGACTGATATCACACTGTTTCATAATTTAGTTTTATTGACTACCATAAAAACCTGCAGATAAGCAGCACCTTATCAATGATTATGTCAAAGTTGGTAGAAATGATGTTCATTATATTCAAGAGCTAAAATTTTTGGTAAGACTTTGAAGTATTTCCGTCACAATGTTAATAGTGAGTTTACGTTCGATGAACAGTGGATGAAGTAGACTTCTTGAGACTTGACTTTGGATTTCTTTTGATTTCTTTCAAAAAACTTTTTTTTTTCCAAAATTTGAGCTGGTAAATTCAGGGGGTGGCTTACCTACAGGTGTGGCTTATCAGCAGGTTTTAACTGTAAGTTGCTATTCTGAATTGGCCTCTGTGAAGAGTTTCTAAAGCTGACATTTCATTTTGTGAGGTCAGAGCAAGTGACCTCACACTTGGTAGTTTTTTTTCTTTGTTATTTTCTGAACAGTCTTTGGTCTACATTTTCAGCCAGGGGTTCTCAATAACAGCCAGGTAGTGGATAGCTCTTCCTGCTTGTAATACCCTGGCTATGTACTTTTAGCCTTTAAGAAATGTCATAGTACTCCCAATGCAAGTTTATTCTCTTTCAGTTTGTTCATATTGGTTGAGTTTAGGAATAACAAACCAATATAAAGTGGAGTAGACCTCAAAATACAGAAAAATGTATCCACAAGAGTCCAAAAAAGTTAATTTTCCAGGATAAGATGGACCTTCTTAGGCACATGAGGTTCTCCAGACACTGAAAGCTACCCACCTGCTATTCCAAACAACAGTTGTACCCATTGATGCAATATTTTATTGAAACCACTTTTAACACTATGGACGTCATAATGAAGTCCTGATCAAAAAATTTCTGCACTGATCATTTTGTAGGTGCTCTTGAATAATTGGGCCATGGTTTCCCCTTCTAAGCTCTTTTTCAAGCTGTTATTTCTGCATAAAAATTAATTTTATTATTATTACAGCACTCAATCAATATCTGGTTCTGATGAGAGAGGTGCAGAGGCAGCTCTCCCTGTGAGTACCCCTGCAGAAGATACAGGAGTTGTCTCAAACTCATTAGTGGGAGCTAAACTTGGAAATGGTGAAGCACTCAGAGTCAGACTTGATAGTTACCCCGCAGGCAAGTGACATTTATTCCATTTTTGCATCAAAATCAGATTTTGAATTTAAAGCATTTTTGCAGATTAGGAACAAAACAATAGAGGAATATTAGCAGAAATGTTTAACGGAGATAATATTTTGCTCTTTAACAAGGTACTTCCCTTTTTCCCCATGGAAGCCTTGGTTGTTACCATGCAAAGTTAAGCAGTTCCAGGAAATGTTCCTGTTTTATGTGATGCTGTCTTCTGAATAAATTAAACATGTTGATATGTGATCTCTCACGCGAAAACGTACACTAACGGCTATCCGTTCGAACGGCAAAACACACGGCTAGTGAACGGATGACAAACGGATGGCCAAGCCGATTGAAACGGCTAACATGAACGGCTGAACGGCCGAAGAAAAATTTTGAACGGCTCAAAGTGAACAGCTGAACGGCTGAAAAAAATTTTTGAATGGTTCAAAGTGAACGGCTGAACGGCTGTGGAAAATTATTGAACGGCTCACGGCTCACGGTAAACGGCTGAGGAAAAGTTTTGAACGGCTGACAGTGAACGGCTGAACAGCTGTAGAAAAATTTTGAACGGCTGACGGTGAACGGCTGAATGGCTGTGGCAAATTTTTGAACGGTTGAACGAGTAAAGATGATAATCATTTTAAATCAACGACCAGATTACTTTGACACAGAGCAAAGAAAAGAAACATCATTCAATTTCCAGCTGAATATCGACTTTGTGGTTGCGTTTCCGGCATTAACTCAGAACCTGTTTTTTAAAGTTCAAAATCAAACATTCCTGTGCACATTTCTCGTTAAATATCTACCAGTAACAAAGATACAGAGAACTAAGGTTATTTTAGGTGGACGAAACCATCTCTTTGCGT